GTCCGACTCTCGGCATACCGTGCACACACCCAAACAAACACGCACACACACGGACGCACACACGCAGGTGCACACCAGGAAGGAGAAATCGTGAAACGCAGAGGTAGAGAAGACTTCGTGAATGGGCAAACGGAAGTAGGCAATTTGCTTGAAATCACCGAAAGCCCAGAGCTAATTTTATGTCTCCGCTCTGCCAATTCGCCGAAAACTGCTCATCAAAGGCTGGAGAGGGAGTGGTGACCCAGGAGCAAGCAGCAGAAGCCCTCCAACCCGCCTAACCTAATCAAGGTAGCTTGCCGCTGTGGGCGTGTCCGCAGCAAACACTCCCAAGTCTCCAGCAGGGGTCCGCCTCCCTGAGAAACCAGCTGGCTCTGCCCACCCTTTCATTTCCTGCCTGCACTGCTCAGGCTGCCAGAGGGTAGAGCCTCCTCACCGCTGGAACAGAGAGCTGTCTCCTGGATTGGGAAACCTGTCCTCCGAAGAGAAGGGAGAAGACAGATCTCCCTGTGGACAGCAGGGGAAGATGGAGACCCGCAAGAACCGGGAGGGCTCTGAGAGAGGACGAGGTGAGGATCGTGTGGGGAGGGGGTCGAGGGGGCCAGTGTGGGGAAGCAGAGAGTGAGAGCCGGGTGACAAAGGCAGCGGCCCCAGCCCCATGTGGCCCTGATCTGGCAGGTGGTGGGGAAGCTCTAAGGCAAGAGAAAGGCAGACTCTGTGTGGTGGTGGCCTGACTGAAGCTGAGCCATCCTCGGCAGGCGCCCAAGGAGGAGGGTAAGGGCTGAGGGCCAGTGCAGCTGGGAACAGCCAGAGTCCTGAGACAGGAGGTCTTGGGCAGCTGAGAAAGAGGAGGGGGTGGGGGGCACTCCGGGAGCAGAGCCATTCCTGACTGGAGAAGTCACTCCGGAGCTTTGCCTTGCAACCATCCGGCAGCCGGTCTGGGTGGACGGCCATGGGCCCACCCACTGTCGACCTCCTCTTCCCCACAGGTTTCCAGCGGGCACAGCCGAGGCCTCTGCGTCCAGGCACAAACGGGCGGAGAAGCCCATGGCTCTCTCTCGCAGTCCCGGCAGAGAAACCGGAAACCGAGGGCGGAAGGTCAAGCCACGAGCGCCCCAGCCGGAGAGAGAGGCCACGATAAGCCCATTAGTGATAATGACGCCTCATGAGTGCACAGGAGGCAGTGTTTAGGGCGGGAGCTTGGAGGGGTGGGGGAGGAGGCGCAGGCCCCGAAGGAGCGGCAGTGGGCCCCGAGTGGGGCTGGGGAAGCCTCAATGCGCCAGGAACCCAGGCTCTCGGTGGCCCCAAATGAGATGGGTCATGCTCAGGGGCGGGCGGAGAGGAAGGTGACTTTGGGCGGGCACAGGAGTGCTCCAGGATGCAGGGCAGGGCTGAAGAGGATGGGGCGTGGAGGCGAGCTGGGCGGAGGGGTGGGGGATGGAGGGCAGGGGAAGGGGCCAGGAGGGGCTTTGGGACTCCTGGAGTCAACCTCAGCGCCCGCAGTCCCTCTGACACTCCCGCCTGTCTCCCGGGCAGGTTCTGTTCCCAGCCCGAGGCGCCCTGGAGGACGGCAAAAGCACCGGCCTAGGATCGCTCTGGGAGGATCAGCGGCCTGAACGCTGTTGACGACCGGGAGAGGAGCTACCGACCTCCCCAAAGCGCCACGACGCTCCTAGAAGCCTGGCCCCTCCTGCAGCTCGCTTTCGTCGCGAGTCGCCAACCACCTGGGCGGGCTGGAGGTGGCCCTGGGCGAGCTTCGCCCTGGGGCGCCTCCCGGGGCCCGCCGGCGGCACGCAGCCCGGCGCCTCACAGCGCGCCTGGCTCGCCTGGCAGCGGCGCACGCCGGGGCCGCCTCTGCACTGGGCGGGGGCTGGCCGACGCCGATAACCTGCTGGCTGCGGGCCTGGCCCGCGGGCTCGCCGTCCCCTTTGCGCCCGCTCCTGGGCGGCCTCAGGTGCGCACGGGAGCCAGCACCGTCGCCTTGGAAAAGCTCGAACCCTCTGCCCCAGAGGCGATCCCGACTCTGCACTGCAAACTCTACGGCGCCCTGCAGGGCGGCAGCCTCCTGCTCTTGGACGCCAGGTGCTCTCCTGCAGCAGCAGAGCAGGAAGAAGCATGGCCCCGCCCCAGTTCGGCGCCTGGCAGTCTCCCTCCCGCCCGCTCGGGGAGATAGATGGCTGCCTCGCTCCGGAAGCCTAGCTCTTGTTCCGGGCATCCAAAGGAAGACACGCTTTTTCCTTCTGGGGGCTCCCAACATCTGGGACTTTGACGATTCGGGACCTCTCTCCCATTGAATTTTTGCGTGTCTTCTGGGAAAGGAAGAGTTGTGGGCTCTGGGGTTTGACGTGCGATTGAGCTTCTCGGAGCCGAGAGCGTTGAGAAGCCTACCCCGAATGACACCCGGATAGAGACTGAGCCATGTCGATTGGCGGAAGTGGGGGTGGGGTTTTGGGGAGGTACCTCGCCATAGGTGATGTGCAGGGGAAAGTGAAATGCCCCCACCATAGGTCATTTGCAGTGGAAAGCAAAATGCCTGGTCCGTCAGCTTCTTCGTGTGACCCAGGAAATGTCCTTAATGTTTCAAACCTCTGCCCCCAGGGTCAGGAAAATATTCCTGAGAGGGTTTGGTGAGCCTCTGGAATCTCTCCACTATTCCGTGTTTGCACCCTCGGCTTTGGCATGGATGAACTGCGTCCATTTGTTTGGAAAACAGTTTACAAATGTTTAATGACCCATGTGGCTACCTCCTCGAGGTGTGTGTCTGTGTGTGTGTGCGTGCGCGCGAGTGTGTGTGTGTATGCCAGCGTTCTATGCCTTGTGAGTGAAACCTGGGAGCTTCTCTCCCTAACCAGTGATGAACACCTGGGCAACTCTGAAGAAGGAAGTGAAAGGGGAATGTCCCACTGGGTTTCTTGGAACGGTGGCTTCTGTCTTTGGAAAAGTGGTGGGATGGAGAGAATCCACCTGAGCTCTTTACAAAGCACCTGTACCGATGGGTGATAGGTAGCATGGGCTCAGGAAATAAGGGATAGTGAGGGGAGACACGCACGTGCCTGGAATCGTGGAGGGCCATTGAGAGCAAGCCGGAGATCCACATATCCTGGTGTTCTGTCAGTCGTTGTGATCCTGAGAGTGTTCCTATAGATGTTAGACTCTTATAGACGTGATGTCCCTTTGTAGTTTTGTTTCACGTTTTAGTATTTCCCTCCCCTCCCTTTGCCTTCCGGTATGAATGACAATAAATACGATACATATTTACCGTGTGAGAGGTCTTCATTAGGGAATTCAGTAGAATCAGCCGAATTGACACACATATCTCCGTACATGTGTCCCCTGTCCCTGTTGGGAGAATTTTCAGTTCTACTCCCAAAGGTATATTGAAGAGTACCACATTCATACAGATCCACTGTACTCACTCATCCCTGCCACATATGTATATATGCTGGTTTTAATAAAATCGTGGAGAATCTGACCTGCCTCTCCTTCTGATTTGTGTGGAAGAAAGGAAGAGAGTGTTATTAAAAAATATGTACCTTACTAGGACTGTAATATCAGGTACAATTAAAGTCAGGGCCATATCTGAGGGGGAAGCAAAGCAATTGCCTACACCTACATAGGTGATGTTCAGAGAATACTCTGTCAGAAACATGGTGTAGGGGGCTGTGTCCTAAGTAGATGAAAAGGAATTTCAACCCATCAATTATTTTTCAGTCTTCACTGAGTCCTTAGTTTACTATTGCTGGATAACAAATCATCACCAGCTTTAGAGGATGAAAGAATCACAAACCTATTATCTCATAGTTTGTGTAAAATGGAAGTCTGCGTATGTCATAGCTAGGGTGATGGTTAACTTTATGTGTCAACTTGACTGGGCTAAAGGATGCCCAGAATACTGGTGAAACATTATTTCTGGGTTTGTTAGTGTGTTTCTGGAAGAAGATTAGCATTTGAATTAGCAAACTAAGTAAAGAAGCCCCCACCAATGTGGGTGGCCATCATCTAATCCACTGAGGGCCTGATAGGACAAAAAGGTGGAGAAAGGGTGAATCCTCTTTGCTTTTTTTTTTTTTTTTTTTTTTGGTCTTTAACTTTTGTGGGTACATAGTAGGTGTGTATATTTATGGAGTACATGAAATAGTTTGATACAGGCACGCACAGTGTAATTATCACATCATGGAAAATGGAGTATCTATCCCCTCAAGCATTTATCTTTTGTGTTACAATCCAATTATCCTTCGTTATTTCGAAATGTACAACTAAACTATTATTGAATATATACACCTGTAGTGCTATCAAATACTAGGTCTTATTCATTCTTTTCTGTTTTTAAAAAAACCTGTTAACTATCCACACTTCCCTACCACCTTCTCTTTTTTCTTGAGCTGGGACATTCATCTTCTGCCCTTTCACATTGGAGCCCCTGGTTTTCTGGCCTTTGGACTCTGGACTTACATCATCCCTACCCCTCTCCACTCTTTTTCCAGTACCTTGCATAGCACAGTACCTAACCTGCACATATTCAATGAATGAAATTAATGCATTAAATGACGCATTAAGGAATTATTTCTCCAAGTGCTTGATTATTCTGCTGAAATATCTTCACCAAACCCGGGCTCTCAAAGAAGAGTGGTGTGTTCACTTAACTTCCTGTTTCAGTTTTTCTTATTGTTCTTATACCATATATGAAAAGATTTATCGTATATCTCAAAGATTAACGTCTCCTCCTATAAAACAATGTTATTTGTTCGATCAGGCTTCTCTCCGTTCTGCTTCCAATTTCTCGCATCCCAGCCTTCTGCAGTCCGCACTAAGCATTGTGCTTCCCGGACTTCTAGCCGCTGGCTGCACTGACGTGTATTCGGAAAAACAATTCCAAATTCTGTAAAATACCTTCCGGCAGTGATGCGACCCGAACGCCGGCAGTGAGTTGTCAGGCCCAGGTCACTCCTGTAATGCGTAACCGAATCGGGTTCCGGCTCGCTCTGATTGCATCACTCCTGCACCCTGTAAGTAACGCCCTCGCCGGCTTTCGCTTTCCTATCTCGTTGACCCAGAAGTCCCCGCACTTCCGCTGTACGGCTGGCCCTTTGCCACGATGGCCGCGCCCGTAGGCTATCACCGAAGGGCGCCGCCATCGCAGCTGCCGGACCCGCTACGGCCCCTCTCCGGGTAGTCGTCATGTCGGTCTCCAGCGGCTACCGGATTTTGACAAAGCCAGAGACCGTGGACCGGAGGAGAAGTGCGGGAACGACCAAAGAGGCCGGGCGACCACTGGAAATGGCTGTGTCCGAGCCCGAGGCCAGCGCCGCGGTGAGGGCTGTGATGAGGCAGGGTGTTTTGGCGGTCAGAGATGGTCTAATTGCGGGGCAGTGATTGGAGTAGTCTGTGATGATAGGTGATTTGGCAATTGGTGAAATCGATGCTAAAGGGTCCCTTGGGAGGTCAGTGTTCTGAGTTATCTGTGGAGTTAGTGATTTGGCTTTAGGATATCAGTATTCTGAGGGATCTGCAGAGACAATGATGGGGAGGCGTCTCTGGCAGTCACTGAATGTCAGAGTTTGGAAGGGGATCAGAAATGGGGACTTTGTGATGTGTCAGAGATAGGGAAGGACTGTGGGAGTTGGCGATTTGGGGTGTCTATGGCAGCCAGCGATTATGGGTGCCTATGGTGGTTACAGCCTGGATTATCAAAGATGGTCAGTGTTGGGATTTGGGAAATTAAGTGACTGGGAACATCTGGGAGGATCAGGGATTGGGGCTTGGGAGTCAGTGACGGTGATGTTTGTGCAAGTTTGATTAGCAGTATCTTTGACGGTCAGTGGGTAATGGAGGAATCAGGGGGCCAGTGAGGGGGGAATATGACTGTTGGAGTTTGGGGAGTCAATGTTGAGATGTCTCTGGGGATAGTAGATGATTTGTATGCCATCTGGGGAGAAAAGGTAATTGGGGATGAATGCAAGTCAATGATTAGCTGATGTCTAGCAGTAATAACTGTGCTTTGAGTAATGAGGTGATTAGTAGGAATTAATGATTGAGGACCCTCTATGATTCTGTGACTAGAAGCCTAAGGGGTCAGGAGTTTGAGGGGATTGCTGGGTTTAATAATTGAGGGTTCTTTAGTGGTCAGTGATTGGAAGTCTGTGGAGATTAATGATTGTTCTGTGGAGAGTGATAGTTGGGAACTTGTAGAGATCCATAATTGGGAGAAGTTTGTGAAGGTTAGTAATGGGGAATATTTGGGTGTCAGTGATTGAAAACTTGCAGGAACAGTAGGAACAGACAGACTGTAAGATGAGCACTTATTTTATGCCAGGGAGTGTTTTTGATTTTGTTTGTTGTTGTTGTTTTACAGTCTCTGCTTTGTCCTCAAAACCAGGGAATGTTTTAAACGCTGGAGAGATGCCAGGAAACAGAACCAGAATCCCTCCCTCAATGACTTACATTCTAGAAATTTGAAAGATATGATAAAATATAAACAAATAAAATTATTCCAGACACTAATAAGTGCTGAAGTAAGTAAAAGAGAATGATGTGGTAGAGCGTGATTGAGGGTAGGGAGTGCATGACTTTAGCCAGGTTAGTCACGGAAAGCTTTCCTTAGGAAATGACAGTTGGCTTGAGGCATAAATCATCACAAGGAGGCAGCCATGTAGAGATCTGAAGAAAGAGTGTTCCAGGAAGAAAATAAACATCAACTGCAAAGGACCTGAGGTAGGAGTGAACTTGGTGTGCTTAAAAAAGGGAAGGAAGATTAGTGCTGTAGGAGCACAGTCAGAGGAAAAGTAAAAAGATGTGAATCATAGTGGTAGGAAGGTATCAGATAATGTACGATTTTATTGGCTAGTGTAAGGATTTGGATTTTATTCTAGATGCAGTGAGAAGCCATTGAGTTTAAGCAGGGGAGTAATCTGTTCTGATTGATACCTTGAAAAGATCACCATGGCTACCTCATGGAAGATGGACTGCAGAGGGGCAAGAGTAGGTAGGTATAGGGAAGTCAGTTAGGAATTTTTTGCAATAGTAAAAGACAAGAGATTATGGTGATTTAGAATAGAGTTGTAGCAGCAAAATGAAATCAAATTCAGAATACATCTGGAGATAAGCAATATAACTTACTAATATATTGATATATGGAGTATGAGGGAAGAGAAGAATCGAGATTTACATCTAGACTTTTAACCTGAAGAACTGGATGGATGGTGATTCCATTTTCTGAATGGGAAGGGTTATGGTGGAAAAGACTAGATTTGATGGATGGAAATGGGATCTGGGGTAATGTCAGTGGCTCTCTTTTGGCCATGTGAAAATGCTCATTGCATATCTACCTAAAGATATAGGGTAGCCACTATATATATGAATCTGGAACTTAGGAAAGGTGTGAGCTAGGGAGCCATTTTTGAATTGCATCACAATGAAGATGATATTTAAAGCCTTAAGACTGGCTCATGTCACCTAGGAAGGGAAGACAGATAGGGAAGAGAAGAGAGCCAGGGACAGAGGGCTGGGTCACTCTGACATTTAAAAGTCTGGTAGAAGACAAAAAAACAAGAGAGAATGAGGGGTGCCCATTGAAGTAAGAGGAAAACTGTGCAAGTGGATGTCAAAGTAGCATAGAGAAGAAAGCCTTTCAAGACAATAGGAGTAATCAATTGTGATATACACTTTTGAGTCCCAAAGCAGGACTAGAGATCATTTGATTTTGCCAGTATGCAGCTCAATGGTTATTTTGATTGATTAGAGCTCATTTATTGGAGTTAAGGGGATAACATCCTGTTAGAGTGAGTTGAAAGAATGAGAGGTAATGAAGTGGAAACAGCAAGTATAGGCAACACTTATGAGGAGTTTTGCTGGTACAGGAAGCAGAGAAATAGACATTGTAAAGGATATGAAATCAAGAGGGGGTTTTCTTCAGATGAATGATATTAAGGCAACTCTGTGTGTCAATGGCAATTATCCAAGTAAAAGGGAGAAATAGATGTTACAAAAGAGAAAGAGGTACTTGCAGGGGTGAAGTCGTTGGGAAGGCAGCTGGGGATGGGATTGAGAGCACAAATGGAGAAACTGGCCTTAGGTGAGAGAAGGAAGACTTTCCATTTTGACAGAAGAGAAGGTATATTATATATGAGTTTGGAAACAGGTTGGTGGAATTGGTGGTAACAAGGCAAGGTAATTCTTGTCCATTTGGATTTATTTTCTCTTGAAAGCATGAAGCAAATTCATCAGCCGAGAGTGGGAAAGGGGTAGATGTTGGAGTTTTCAGAGTTAAAAAGGAGAATGTTCAAAATAATCATCTAGGAAAAAGGAAAGGTGCATTTTCTAGGGGTTAGGTAGGACTACTGACAGTATTAGATGCCCATTTGGCATATGTGTTATAAATTTGAAGTTAGTCCACTCAGCACAGATTGATTTTTCTCTTGCAGTGTTGAGTTGCAAGGTTGCAGGCAGAGATTAAGAGGAGAGTTGGATTTAACCAAGGTTGAGGCTTTGATAGGTGAATACAGTGGAGGAGAAGAGGAGAAAGGAAGTTAAAACTTTATAGTTTTCAATTGATTGTGTATAGTGCTAGAACAAGGAACCTGAACAAGAAAGAAAGGCTAGGTAAGGGTGGAAGATTGTGAAAAAGTGGTTAGGATCGGAGGGCTCAATGAGTTTGGAGAATTATTGGAGTGAAAGTACTAGAACAAGTAGCAGGATAGGAAATAATGGTCAGAGGGTGGAATGTCTTAGAGATTTTTGGAGGTGTTATAGTGATGGCAAGGTGTAAGTGCAGATGATTTATGAATAGGCGGCTGAATTTGAGTGGAAGAAAAGATTGTTGACCTCATGAAAAAGAGAGGCAAGGGTGTTGAATGGCTCTTCCACATTGATACAAAGGTAGTGCAGCATGATGGCAGGGATTTAGCTGGTGCTAAAGTTTTCAGTGAATGGGGTGGGATGACTGCAGAACAAAGTTAACATAGAAGTCAAAAACTGCTATCCTTAGACGGGCCTGCTTGCAAGGTTTGCTTTTTGCTGGCATCTGGGAAATTAGATTTCAGGAAGGATCCCACCGTTCCCAGAACTGGTTAAGAGTAGTTCCCAGTGGTTAAAGAGTATATACAATGTGGTTTATGCTGAACACCTGCTTTCTTCTGGGAGTCTGGAATTTTTGTACATGCAGGCAGAGAGTGCCTACATCATGAGCCCCCAGTGAAACCCTTGGGCAGTATTTGGTCTCTAATGAGCTTCCCTAGTAGACAACATTTCATACATGTTATTATAACTCACTCTAATATAAATTAATTTTAGAATTAAGCATGTTCTATATGACTTCACTGGGAGGGAACTCATGGATGCTGGTGCCTGGTGTCCTCTGGACTTTATCCCATGCTGATTAACTGACTTTGCTTTGCATACTTTTGCTACAATAAATAATAGCTGTGAGTACAATTATATGCTGAGTCATGTGAGTCCTCCTAGGAAATCACTGGACCCAGGAGGGTTAATAGATGAAAATCTGGTGATACTATAAATAAGCTATGAATTTTGAAGGAAGAATGAGAAATGGTTGAAAGTAATCATTTACCACATCTTTAGAACCTGAGGTACATGAGTCATGGCGGGGAGGGGAGTGGTGCAGGAAAGATAGCTTCCACTCCTCTGAGGCTCCTGTAAGGAAGCAGGATCCTCAGGAGACAGGTAGATTTCAGGTAAAGCATGTAAATGAAGGGAGTGGCTAAAGAGGCTGAGGGAGGAGTGGAATTTGCTGGCAGGAATTAGAGTTTCTATAAAGGCCACTGCTTGAGAATTCTACTGGTGTCAGTGATTGGGGATTGATAAGATGAGGGATTTGGGGTAATGGGAGATAGATTATCATGTGTCCTGTGGGTATCACTGGTTGAGGGACTTGTGAGAATATGTGATTGGAGTGTCTGTGGGGGCAAGTGATTGCTACTGTTTGGGAGGTTTGCTTTACCCAGTCATTTTGGAGCTATAGGCCCAGTAATGAGGCAAGGCTGTCTGTATCAGCTCAGTGATTGGAAGGCCAGTGACAATCAATGATGGGAGATTATTGGTAGTCAGTGACTAGAGGTCTGTGGGGTTAAATTGATGACTTTTGCAGGTAATTGAATGGTGGTCTGGCCAGGCACAGTGACTGACATCTGTAATCTGAGCACTTTGGGAAGCTGAGGTGGGAGGATTGCCTGAGCCCAGGAGTTTGAGCCCAACCTGGGCAACATAGCGAGAACCTGTCTCTACAAAAAAATTTAAAAATCAGTCAGGCATGGATGGTGCATGCTTATAGTCCCAGCCACTTGGTAGGCTGAGGTGGGAGAATTGCTGGAGCCCAGGAATTCAAGGTGTCAGTGAGCTATGATTACGTTATTGCATTTCAGCCTGGGCAACAGAGTGAGACTTTATCCCAAAAAATAAAAAGTAAATAAAAACAAAAAGGCGGAAAAAAAAGGTTGGTTGTCTGTGAGGATAAGGGATTATCTTTAAACATTAGACAAATATGTTTGAATGTGTATTTATTAGTATCAAAATTCTCCAATAGCTGTGCCATCCTCCTTTTACCTGCCTAATAAGAGGACTTTAATATACTTTAATTTCTTCCCTACCCCCACCCCCCTAGTTAGGGTTCTGCTTATTTTTTTTCATATCATACCTCTTGATTTTAAGGATACTTTCATAACAGTTGTACAAGCACATTATCAAGTTATTTAGATTTAACTAGACATTTTACTGGTTGTATTAATCATAGCTCTCTCTTATATATTAAGTCTTTCCCAATTTTGAAATCTTTATTCTGATCCACTTTTTCTTCTTTTAAAAATCATTCATTCTCTTTTTCTGCTTCTTTTCCTCTTTCTCTTCCCCTTCCCCTTTCCTCTATTTCTCCCCAACTTTCTGCTTTATTTCTAAAGAACATTGGTAGTATACTTTCTGCATTCTTATATGCCTAAAATATCTTACTTTTGCCGCCAAACATAAATGAGTTTTTTTTTTTTTTTTGAGATGGAGTTTCTGTTGCCCAGGCTGGAGAGCAATGGCTTGATCTTGGCTCACTGCAACTTCCACCTTCTGGGTTCAAGCAATTCTCCTGCCTCTGCCTCCCAAGTAGCTGGAGTTACAGGTGCCTGCCACCATGCCTGGCTCATTTTTGTATTTTTAATAGAGACCATGTTGGCCAGGCTAATCTCAAACTCCTGACCTCACATGATCCATCTGCCTTGGCCTCCCAAATTGTTGGGATTACAGGTGTGAGCCACTGCGCCCAGCCCATAAATGATTTTTTTGACTGGTTATAAAAATCAAGGGTCTCAATTCTTCTACCTCAGAACTCTATAAACTAGAAATACTGCTCAATAGCCTTTTAGCATCCCCTGTTATAGAAGATAAGACAAAGATTGATTCTGTTCCTTTTTTCTTTCTTTTATTTTTATTTTTTTGGCTATTTAGCTTTCTCTGCGATATGCACATGATTCTATCCTCTTGAATAAATAAATTCACAATAGGGACATTTCTGTTTGTCACGACAGGGTCTCACTCTCTCAGCCAGGCTGGAGTGCAGTGGTGTGATCTCAGCTCCCTGTAGCCTTGACTTCCTGGGCTCAGGTGATCCTCCTGCCTCAGCCTCCAGAGTGGCTGGGACTACAGGCATGCACCACCATGCCCAGCTAAGTTTTGTATATTTTTGTAGAGATGGAGTTTTGCCATGTTGCCCAGGTTGGTCTCAAACTCCTGAGCTTAAGCAATCCTCCTGCCTCAGCCTCCCAAACTGCTGGGATTACAGGTATAAGCCACAGTGCCCAGCTCAGTAGGGACATTTCTTAATATGGTTTTTGTTTTTCAAAATAATGAAAAATTGAGTAGAGAATAGGTATCCTTTATAATATTACTATCAACAGTGAGTAGTCAAGGTAAGAACAAATTATTATCTTGTCCAAATCACTCACCAAATGTGGATAACATTAGCGTACACAGGAATATGCTATCACAGGTATCAGTAACATTCAGACATGTGACTATGACCTTTACCCAGAAGGAGTGGAAGCAACTGGATTCTGCTCAGAGGAACGTGTATCATGATATGATGCTGGAGAACTACAGCAACCAAGCCTCAATGGGTAAGAACAATTCCTTTGTAATTCAAAATGTGTCCACTGTGATACCTTCTCTCTGGAGTCCTTGATAAGTTCGGCCTTCATTTTTGTAGGTCAAAGGGCTTTCTTCCCTTTTGGGTACTAGGCAGGATATTTGTGCCCCTGCCTCCAAAATGGAAGGTCTGTTCAGTTGACCTGGCATTCACATTGTGAAACTCCAGAAGCCATGTATTCTTTAGGCCCTGAAGTACAAATGCTGGGGCTTCATTTCTGGGATGGTTGTTCTAACACTCAGTTTCTGCTATTTCTCATGAGCAGGGTATCAAGCTCCCAAACCAGACGTGATCTCCAAGTTGGAAAAAGGAGAAGCACCATGGTTGGGGAAGGGAAAAAGACCCAGTCAAGGTTGTCCAAGTAAAATAGCAAGATCCAAGCAAAAAGAAACTGATGGAAGTAAGTTGTAACTTTGAAATTTTTCAGAGAATAATTTGTTCTGAAATTCTTAAAGATCCTAGACCCTTCTTTCTTAACTAGAAAATAGCAGTAGAAAAAAATCAGGATTTCCTGAGGAAATAATATTTCAAACTACAATGATTCTGTAACCTGAGAGATTCTAATATCTCTTCCTTTTGTGAATTTGTTCACACGAGAGGTTCTATGTGAGGTTCACTATGGTAGTGAGCTAGTGTTAAATATGGGAGTTTGGTTATATCACCTGTATCAGTCAGTTTCCACTCAGTTTTGCTCCATGAAGGAATGAGCCCTTGCAATCTTAGTTACTTACAATAAGAAAAATTAATTTCTTGCTCAAGCCACAGCTGTATTCCATATTATCTTTATTTGGGGACCTATGCTGAAAGAGCATTCTGCATTTGGCAAATTCTGGTCTCATGACAGAGGGAAAAAAAGGGTGAGTGGAACCACGTGGTAACTCTGACAGTCACTGCTTGAAAGGTGTAGATATCCCTTTCAGCTCACATTTTGTTGGTCAAAGCAGGCCATCTGGCCACTCCTGAGTTCAACATGGTAGGAATGTATAATCCTTCCACTGGGAAGAGTGCTATAATTCAAAAGGCTATGCATTTGGGAGGGGCTGGGAGGCATAATCTTGCCACAGGAAAAAATAATACTATCTTTCACACCACTCAGGTTGTGGTAGGATAAAAGGTGAAAATCAGGGCTCTGAAACTTGGTACCAGCCCCTCAGATGCCTAACTGACCCTTCCATTGCTCAATCTTCAGAAGGAGCAGTGACCCTCTTAGCTGTTCTCAGTCCCACTCCTGCTTACCTTATATAAATCAGTGCTTTTTTAAAAAAGCATCCTCCCTTTTCCTAATATCCTCAGCTTTTTTCCTTTTCTCCTTTACTCAAGACCCTAGGTGTCAATTTTTCTCCTATGTATTTGTACATTCTTAGATCTGCCCTCTTTCCAAATCTCTTGGCGTGATGCTCCTGCCCTGAGTTATTTCTGTTTCTCTCCTTTCACTATGAAATTCTCTAGACCCATGATCTATAGCACATCATCATTTCCATTTTCTGCTTAACCCCTGCAGTCAAATCCCACAGAATTCATGCCTCTAACTAAATTTCTGACTTTAAGGTCACCACTGCTTACTTTTTAGTGCATACTTTAATCATTTTTGTTAGCTTGAAGTTCTCACTCACCCAGTTTGAATTGTACAACTTGAATCAAATCTTATCCGCTAAGTGCTTCTTTATCATTTACTCACTAGCTTCTCTTTCTTCTCATTTTGCTGAGGTGTCCCTAAGGTTTTGTCTTCTACTATCTGTTCTTTTTAAAAATTGTATCGATTATTCGTTGTGCAAATAAAAGCTATTTATTCTACACTCGTGACTTCCAAATGGACATCTCCAATTCCTTTGTCTTACACTCATATTTGACCTACTTACATAACAGCTTATTCTTAGGATGTCAGAAATGGAAAGCTTTGTCTTTCTCTCTAAATTAGATGTTCTTTTCAACTTCCCTGTTTTTATCAGGGTGTACTCTGATTATAGGACTGTCTTCCATAGAGTTACTATCCTGTCTTCAGCTTCTGCTTTTTTTTTCCTCAATGTTCAATGTCATCACACAAATCAGGCTCATATTATCTCATACTTAACTTTTTCCAATTCTTAGATACATTTGCTAAATCAGTTTTTTTTCCTATTTCTTTCTCTTTTTTTCATAGAGACAGGGTCTTGCTATGTTGCCCAGGCTGGTCTTGAATGCCTGATCTCAAGCAATTTTCCCTTCTCATCTTCCCAGTGTTGGGATTACAGGTGTGAGCCACCATACCCAGCTTTAATTGATCTTAGATGTTACCACCAAACATGAAAATATTCAGTTATTATTTATGTTACCATAGTCCCCAAATTATTAATAGCAGAATATCTGCTATGTCTTTTAAATTCTTTTGACCTTCAGTTGTCCAAGACTGTATGAATTCCCTAAGAGGAACCAGTCTTTAAAATGACAAATGAAGAGACTCAATGGAGTTTCTGATTCATCCATTAATAGCTCCAGTTTTGGCTATCCTTACTTTTCTTGTTGACACTTTACAGCTAAAAAACAATCCTAAGTCATTTAATACATCTTTATCATTGCTACAATGACTCTCTTTTGGTTCAGGTTCTTATATACTACTTAGGAGGCTCTTCAAAGAAGGACTGTTCTATTCTCTCCAATAATTTGCTGGGCCAAGTGAGTTCTATATTTGTTTCTGAAGTTACAGTTGTTTTAGCTTAGCATTTATGTTTTAATTACTGTCTCAGATTCAAGAAAAACTTCCAGCCTTAGTCAATTGCTCTTCCAGATCCAACTCTTCTCTAGTATTACCATATTACTATACCAATTTGCTTGTTCAAATTCTCCTCCTTTCCTTCATGGTGATATTTTCTTGTAGTACCTTACGTCTTTTCCTGCTGACAGATACCAGTTGGGACCAGCTCAATTTATCATTGTAAAGGTTCTTGTAATATTACATGTCAAGGGGAAAGTTTTCAGTTTTGATTCCTTTCTTTCCAGAAGGAAATTTTTCCTCCATGTTTTCCATCATCCTTGGGCATTGAAAGACACAGCCTTGTCATGGTACCTAAAAGTTTGTTATTCTCTCTGCATCACTTAAAATTTCCTAAATGAAAAAGCAGCCAGCAACTGCACTTCTCTAGACTCCCTAACATACATATATGTCTACATATATATATATATTTTTTATTTTTCAAAACTGATCTTCTGCTCCATGGGAATTAATCTCTTTAATGTCCTTTATAAAAGTAATAATATTTCCTTTCCATCCATCCAGATACCATAACTCCTTTCGGTTTGAGTCCAGTTTTCACTTTCTCAGTGTAATGTTCCTTTACCATCAAGGTGGCTATTCACTTCCTGCCTCTTTCTTTCTGAAGTCATGGGGATTTTTATATCTGCTTCTCTCTAAGACTGTTTAATTCTCACTCTGAAGCTTTTTCTGCTTTTCCATGCATATAGCATGTAGCTGAAAAAGGATACCCCTAAATGGTGGCCTCAGCTCTTAAGATTATAGGTTTTTATACATGTAGTATCCATAGCTAGCTAACAGAAGTCTATAAATTTCAATTTCTGGTTCTTAGGCAAAAGAATATTATTGCACTACCCAGTGTTTACCACTGCCCCATCTATTGTTTTTAGCCAGAATTCAGCTTATGTAGTATAAACATAGCAGCCCACAGTTTTCAGTGTGGGTAATGGTCTCAGAGAAGGGAAGCAGGGATTAAGAAGACATCTCAGATGTGTAAGTGTTTAATGTATGGCAGAAAGAATGTGAGTAACCACTTAGAGCTAGGAATAAACTTAAAATTTGTAATTGACAATTAGAATGACCTGAAAAGAACAAATATACATTCCATAGCAAACTATTGGAAAACAAAACAAACTTGGATGCACACTATAAATCAGATTGAGTAAAGTTTGTTTGCTAAGCTAATTACTATGAATTTTATCATTTGATGAAAGCATCAGGTAATGTAGAGAAACTAGGGATTTTTAAAGTACAAGAATATCATTTTGGGGGTCATTTCAGTGGTAGCAATGGAAAGGAAAAGATATGTCAGCAGGAAAAGATCTAAGCACTACAAGAAAAATTCACCTTGAGTAGTAGAAAGTAGATAACCTTTCTTATTTATTTTCTCAGCCACTTATCGGCTCGTCAATACTTCTTGGTGGACTCACTTTATTTTTCTTTTCTGGCTCTTTTGGATATAATAACAAAAGTTTACATTAGCTAGCTTCGGTACATACAGGAATATGCGATAAGGACATGAGTATATCCCTTACAAGCTAAGGGCAAGATAGTTCAGCCAGTCCTCACCAGGGGCTAGAAATAGGAACTAGGAAGGAACTAGGAAGCCATTGGGAATTGAAATTGTGCAAATGATCTCTTTAAAGACACGGTTCTTATGTCTCTGCTTCTCTGTGTGTGGATGTTTCATTCTTTGAACTTTCTGTTTACATAGAGAAAATATGGGTTACTAGTACCTGCTTTATATAATTTCTAAATTTAAGTACCAAGTGGAGACTAACTGGAGTCAAATTTGTTAGAAGAAAGAATCTTGTTGGACATCTTGGTTTGAGTCAGATTTATCTCCAACTGTGCCCATGGAGAATTGGGGTAATATAGTATAGGCTGCAGCAGCAATATACTATGGCCAGCTTGGGAGTTACCAGAACTGGGCAGCTTGGGCTTACGAGAAACCTCAAAAAAGTATCAGCTACAATCATAAGCTCTTTTTACTCCATCTATTCTCTGTTCACTTCTCCTTGTGTTTATTTCATCTTCTATCCCAGGTTGCACACTCATATTTTTAAGCAGCAAAACCTTTTAAAAATCACTATTGTCACTTTTCCCACCTCTTTTTACCACAACATCTTCTCCCTCAAGTCCGTTCACCCTAGTTGTTTCATTTACGTTGGTATACTAGCCTGAATAAAAATTTAACCCTACAACAGGTCATTTCTTTACAAGTTTTATTCCAAAATATAAGAGTACAAGGATTTACAAGAATATCTCACTGAATTCCATTTTAGAAGTCCAGCAAGATGATGACCAGCTTGAAAATAACCAGCAATCTCAAAACAAACTCCTCAGGGAAGTTGTAGTCAAAAAGAAAACTCAAACTAAGGAGAATGGCAGTGACTGTGGTTCACTGGGGAAAAAAAATAATTTGCATACAAAACATATTCCTTCAAAGAAAAGGCTTCTTAAATTTGAGTCACATGGAAAAATTTTGAAACAGAATTTAGATTTACCTGATCACTCAAGAAACTGTGTAAAAAGGAAATCTGATGCAGCTAAAGAACACAAGAAGTCATTCAACCGCAGCTTATCTGATACAAGGAAAGGCAAAAAGCAAACTGGAAAGAAACATGAGAAATTATCCAACCATAGCTCATCTGATAAGTGTAACAAAACTGGCAAAAAACATGACAAATTATGCTGTCATAGCTCATCCCATATTAAACAGGACAAAATTCAAACTAGAGAGAAACATAAGAAATCATCCAGCCTTAGCTCATCTACTAAGCATGAAAAACCTCAAGCTTGTATGAAACCCTATGAATGTAATCAATGTGGGAAGGTTCTCAGCCATAAACAAGGACTCATTGACCATCAGAGAATTCATACTGGGGAGAAACCATATGAATGTAATGAATGTGGGATAGCCTTTAGCCAAAAGTCACACCTTGTTGTACATCAGAGAACTCACACCGGAGAAAAACCATATGAATGTATTGAGTGTGGCAAAGCCCATGGTCATAAACATGCACTCACTGACCATCTAAGAATTCATACTGGAGAAAAGCCCTATGAATGTGCTGAATGTGGGAAAACCTTCAGACACAGCTCAAACCTTATTCAACATGTGAGATCTCACACAGGTGAGAAGCCGTATGAATGTAAGGAATGTGGCAAGTCTTTTAGGTATAACTCATCTCTTACCGAACATGTGAGAACACATACAGGTGAAATACCATATGAATGCAATGAATGTGGAAAAGCCTTTAAGTATAGCTCATCGCTTACTAAACACATGAGAATTCATACAGGTGAGAAACCCTTTGAATGTAATGAATGTGGGAAAGCTTTCAGCAAGAAGTCACACCTCATTATACATCAAAGAACTCATACTAACGAGAAACCTTATAAATGTAATGAGTGTGGAAAAGCCTTTGGACATAGCTCATCTCTTACTTACCATATGAGAACTCATACAGGTGAAAGTCCCTTTGAATGTAATCAATGTGGGAAAGCCTTTAAACAAATTGAAGGCCTTACTCAGCATCAGAGAGTTCATACTGGAGAGAAACCGTATGAGTGTAATGAATGTGGGAAAACCTTTAGCCAAAAGTCTCACCTTATTGTACATCAGAGAACTCATACTGGGGAGAAACCTTATGAATGTAATGAATGTGAAAAAGCCTTTAATGCAAAGTCACAGCTTGTTATACATCAGCGATCCCACACTGGAGAGAAACCCTATGAATGTAATGAATGTGGGAAAACTTTCAAACAAAATGCATCCCTAACCAAACATGTGAAAACTCATTCGAAAGCGAAATCTCACGAGTGACAATGTGGCAAATTTGTTAACTAAATTTAAAATTTTGTTGAACCTTGGAAATATACTGAATTTAAAGAGTGTTAGAAAGCCTTTAGCAAGATATCACACCTTGTTATACATGAGAAACTTTGAAAATGGATCTCCATATAGAATCAGTGGATGGAAACAAGGGTTTAAACTTGATACAAAACCTTTTATAAAAAATATTGTTTTAACAATACTCAATTATTATAAATGATCTACATGTTCAGATTGAAATTGAAAGCTTAAAACTTGTGAATAATTTGAATATTCAAAGCAATGGAGAAACAAGTTATATATGCTGACAGTTCCTGTGTTTCTTCTTGTTTTGTACTTAAGCACCATATATTATAGTTGAATTTGCATATCTGTTTATTGCCTTATGTAAATGAGCGTGGCCATTTGTATAAGCCTCTTTGATATTTTCACCCAGCTCTTTCTTAATGTCTGTGTTGACTTCTGCATCAGCAGAAATCTTTTTGAAAGGGTTGTTATATTTGTAAAAAGTATTAACAGGAAAACGAGAAAATAAAGCAGCTGAGGATACAAATGTGCTGGTAGGGAGTGGTATTCAAGATATACTGTGAAGTGTAAAAAAGCAGGTTGCTGAACCATGTATATATTATATTCCCCTTTGTGTACAAAAGGGTATGTTTGTTTAACCTCTGTCTCTTATCTCTGTATGTGTATATATCTTAGTATGCATATATACATGTATTTGTATGTGAATAGACTTTGAAAAAAATACAGAATAAACTTCATGGTGGTTGCCATTGGGCACAGGAGTATAGGATTGGGTTCTAGGATAGGAGCAAGACTTCCTTCTATATTTGGATTTTTAAATCATGCACATGTATTTTTATAATTAAAATATTTTAATATGCACAAATCAACATTATTTAAGGTTGTCACTGAACCCCTCCACAATGTTGTTTGACAGAGTTAAAATCTTTGTATGATTATTCATGAATGATGATGAATCGAAAGTATATAGTATGAAACGATGTTGAATTCATAAAGACTTTTCCTATCAAACACACGTTCTTTCATTAACATGGTGAATTATAACAGCACTATGTTTCTACATTTACCATTTTTTCAGACTGATGATGAATTGTGATTGCAGGTGAATGAAAGTGATTTTCTGAATAATCACCCCGTTTTATCTCATATTCAAAGAACTAACATACAAACACCTCAATCAGGGAATGCAAATGAAACAAATGTCACTCCTCCCTGTTCTTGCTCAATATTGGGCATTATTTACTGGATCACTGTACTCTTTCTGAGTGAACCCAGAGTTGGCCTCAGAATCATTGTGCAGCATGCATTCCAGAAGGTACTATGCATCAACTTGGACCGTCACAGGAGACCTCTTTGCCATTGCACACCTGAATTTTTTTTACTCTTGAGCTATAGATTAAAAATACTTCTGGCTGGGCATGGTGGATACCTGTAATCTCCAGCAGTTTGGGAGGCCAAGGTGGGTGGATCACTTGAGGCCAGGAGTTTGAGACCAGACTAGCCAACACAGTGAAACCCCATCTCTACTAAAAATACAAAATATTAGCGGGGCATGCTGTAATCCCTGTAATCGCAGCCGCTCCGGAGGCTGAAGCAAGAGAGTTGCTTGCACCCAGGAGGTGGAGGCTACAGTGCACTCCAGCCTGGGCAACAGAGTGAGGCTCTCTCTCAAAAAAAGAAACACAAAAAACCCACAAAACTCCTGAACTATTTTAAACTCTAAGTTGTTACACTAAAAGCAGAGACGTAAGTACAGATGTAAGTACAGAAATATTTTAATACAATATTAACTTACATAATTAATATAAAATATTGTAATTTGGCATATTATCTTTTATATTTTTTAAAGCACAATCCCTACGTTATTTCATTTATTCCTCAGAACTAACATATGAGCAGTTACCAGGATGTGTCTAGTCATGTTCAATTCTGTTGAGTAAATATTTCACCTAGATAGTAGTTCAGCATAATAATGGGCCCTAAAGAAATATGTGCTTAAATGCCATCTTTACAAATATTTATCATTCAAGCTCCTTCCTTCCTGACCTCATTTCAGAGAATTATAATGTGTTAATATAATATATTGAGAATGGAATATGCACACATGCATACACATGCATGGGTTGAAAGCTCAACTCATGAATATATCCCCTCATTTCCAAGTAACTTATTTATCGCATGGGAAGAAAATGCAGTATGAAAGCCATTTCCACCAATAATTTCTTAACAAGTGGAAATATGACACTCTGCACAGAATGAGTCATCACTGTCTAGAGCTGTAGAAAGCCTGCACTTTTTAGAAGGATGAAACAGTTGCAGGTTATGGCTATGTTGAATTTCCACATGTCTTGGGGAACCCATAGTATTGCCACACCTGAGACAGTGAGAATTATAGGTATGCCTGAATGGTATAAATGAATGCTGAAAGCCGTTTTGTGCAGTAATAAAATGAATTAAAAGTTAGCATTGATGAACGAAGAAAGGATGTCTAAATACAGTTAGAGGTTAGTATAGGAAAACAGACACACAGAGATAAGTCTGAATCAATGATACGTAAACTTTAGTGTGCATAAAAATTGCCTGAATGATTTGTTAAAGCATAGACTTTAGAATGCAAATTCTTGGGCCTCATCACAGACGTACTGGATCAGAAACCCTGTGGATGGGGCTTGAGAATTTGCATTTTAATAAGTTTCCAGAGGATTCCTGTACTGCTGGTCTGGGGACCAGCCTTTGAAAACCACTAATCTACATCATTGTGTAAGTAAGTTTAAAAAATTATTTTTAAACTTTTTTTGAGATCCTCTTTAAAAAAATGAAGGGGCATAAAAGTAAATTATTATTAACAACAGTTTTGAAACATTTATTTATTCAAGTGATATGATCATCTAAGTGCCTGAGATACAGCAGTCTACAAAACAAAAAGAAAGCAAACAAACAAAACCCTGTTCTCATAGACCTTAATTCTAGAGGAGGACATAGGCAATAAATAAACAACTACAATATAAAGTATAACAGATCATCGCATGGCAAAAAGCAAGCCAAGGAAGGGGAGGGAAGTGTTGCGGAATACAATTTTAAATATAGTGATGGGAAGCAGGCAGTAAGCTTACTTAGATGGTGACAAAAGCAAAGACCCAGAGAGGGTAAAAGAGCAACCTACGTGTGTGTATATATATGATGGAAGAGCATTCCAGGCATATATTTTTTGGAATCTGAGGGTGTGGGAAGAGAAAGATGCTAAACTCCTCTGACATAAAGAAGAGGAAAAAAAGTAGAAACATTTTTTCTTAAATCAAGATTTAAAAAAATAATTACGTTTGTGAGAGGCAGAAAACAATCTGTCACACACTGCTTTTGGTAGTTGTATAAGTTTGTACAACCTACCAAAATGTAAATCTGACAGTATATATCAAAGCCTTATGGTCGGGAGTCCATCACAGAATCTATTCTGTGTTACACAATTAGGGCGTACTATAATATTTATTGCACAACAGAGAGAAATCAGATATACATTGCTAGTTAATTGATTAAAGTATGATACCTTCAAAATTTGAGTAATATGACATTAAAAACCACAACTTGAAACTATATTTAAGAAGATACAAATGATTCTATATTATTACTTTTACTCTCAGGAATGTGTTTGAATGATGCGTCTCCAGATGTCAAGTGAGTAATCCAATATTGAAGAAAATTAAAATTTTCCACAAAGTCCCCCTTCTAGAAGAATGTGCTCACATCTTTTGACCAGAAATAAGTCACATGACCACACCTAGTTTAATGAGAAGTTTGAGGAAATGGAATCTTTTTCTTTGTTTGTTTTATTTTGTTTTGAGACAAGGTCTCTGTCACCCAGACTGGAGTGTGCAGTAGTGCAATCTAGGCTTATTGCAATCTCTACCTCCCAGGCTGAAGCACCCTCCCACCTTAGCCTTCCGAGTAGCTGGGACTACAGGTGCATGTCACCAAGCTAATTTTTGTATTTTTTTTTTAATTTTGTAGAGACAGAGTTTCACCATGTTACTCAGGCTGGTTTCAAACTCCTGGGCTCAAGTGATCTGGCCACCTAGGCCTCTCAAAGTGCTGTGATTCAAAGTGTGAGCCACCACACCTGGCCAAATCTTTAATTTCTTAACCTTTATCATATAGGAAATAAAGAGACATGGGCATTGAAAAATAGATGTTATACAAACCAACCTATAGCATCTAAAATACTAAATAAAAAGGTTACAAAACTATATGCACATTAGAATTTTAATTTAAATATAGATATTGTTTATACACACAAATACATATGATGAAAAATGCATCTTATCATTATGTGGATAGTGGTTCTTCCAGGATTGTGGGTTTAAGAGTAAGTTTTATGTTTTTGTAATCAATTTTTATATTCTCATGAATCAATTTTTTTTTTTTTTTTTTTTTTAAGTAATAACATTTCTGATATGGCCAAGTGGATTCCTACTGGGCATGGCCCTCCCACAGATAATTATATAAACTCTGGACAAAACACGCAAACACACACACACCCCAATGATCCAATGGTACTGAAGAATGAACAAAAGCAGGCATATTATGTGAAAGAGTTGAATCTTGGAAGAAAGGAATGGCAGGGGGTTAGATCACATTTTTAAGGCTGTTTGCTTGAAGATAGGCTGAATTTAATGTAACAGAGGGGAATAATTTGATAGAAAAAAAATCTTTTTGACATGAAAAACCATAGGACAAAGTTCAGGGCAACCACAGTCACTGGAAAGTGAGGGAAGAGTCTCAGAAAGAGGAACTCAAAAGAGTGGACAGCCCAAATTCTGTGCATAAACTGCCCAAGTCTCTGGATGACCCCTGAGCTATGCATGCATAGGATACGCTAAGGACAAAAAAACTGAGCTTTCATTTGTGCTACTGGCCTAGAGACAGCATTTGAAGTTTGAGTTTAACTAAGTTCATTATTAAATGAAGCAAAAACATTAGCACTCTGCAGAGGAGCATGACAGAGTCCAGAATCTCCACATCTTAACCATTCATGTTATGTAGGACACAACTTTTAAAAATTGCCTGACATTCAAAGAATTAAGAACATGTGACCTCCCATTTCAAGAAAATAGACAATAAACCCAGGTGATGGAATGAGCATATGAGAATATTAAGGTAGATATTGTAACTATGCTTAATAAATTAAAAATAAAATATTCTCACAAGGAATGTAGTTTTTTAAAAACTCAATGAAACAAATAGAAACTACAAAGAAATACAAATGAAAATTCTACAACTGTAAATACACTGAAATTAAAAAATCACTGAATAAATTTGCCTGCAGAATAAAAATGACAGGGGAGCCAGTTAACTTGAAATAGATCAGTAGAAATTTCCCAAACAAATGAGTAAAAAAAAAAAATGAGAAGAAATGAACAGAACCTCAGCGAACTTTGGGACAATAACAAAATGTCTTACATAAGTGTAGTTGAAATCCCATGAGGAGAGAATGGGACACACAAACTATTTTAAGATATAATGGCTGAAATGTCCCCAAATTTTGTGAATAAGACAAATGTACAGATTTGAGAATCTCAGTGAATTCCAATCAGGATAAATGTGGAAAAAAAAAAAGACCCATAAGTCACATCCTGGTCAATCTTCTGAAACCCAAAGATAAAAAGAAAATCCTTGGGCTGGGTGCAGTGGCTCACACCTGTAATCCCAGCACTTTGAGAGACCAAGATGGGTGGATCACTTTAGCTCAGGAGTTCAAGACCAGCCTGGGCAACATGGTGAAAGCCTATCTCTACTAAAAATACAAAAAAAATTACCCAGGCATGGTGGTGCACACCTGTGGTTCCAGCTACTTGGGAGGCTGATGTGGGAGGATCACTTGAGCCTGGGAAGCAGGGGGTGCAGTGAGTCAAAATCACACCACTGCACTCCAACCTGGATGACAGAGGGGGACCCCGTCTTAAAAGAAACCCACAAAATCCCCAAAGAAGATCATCAAGGACAGAGAAAAATTACACATTAAATGTATTTCAAAACACAAAAATGACTGGTGACTTACCATCAAAGACTACAAGGGCCAGAAGACAGTGTATCTGTATCTTTCTTATAGGAAAGAAACAAAACTGAATTTAAAAACCTTCACCCTCAAAATCTATATCCAGCAAAAAGTATTCTTCATGAATGACAGTGAAATAATCACATTTTTCAGATAAAAGAAAACTAAAACAGTGTATCCCCAGAGAACTCTACAGTTCTTCAAGTTGAAAGGAAATCATAGTACGTGGAACCCCAGAAAGCAGTGATGACTATCAGAAAAGGTAAATGTGTTGATAAATATAAAAGACTGGTTTTTGTTTTTAAATTCTTTAAAATACTTAGGATTATTTATAACAAAACTTATTATCTTATATGGAATGTAAGGTATTAAAATACAATACATATGACAAATTTACATAATGAAAGGAGAGCACACCTATATTATAGCAAGTTTACAATAAATTTCATGTGATATGGTATAATATTAATTTCAAGTAGACTGTGAAAGCCAAGGATGTATAAAGCAATCTATAGAGAAACCACTAAGGAGTAATGCAAAGAGGTATAGCCCAAACACAACAAATAAAATAAACCTCTACAAATATTCAAAAGTTCCTAATGGAAGTATGAAGAGAGATACAGAGGAACAAAATCGAAGGGGACAAACATACAAATAATAAGATGTTAGAGCTAAATCCAGCCCTAACAATAATTACATTAAAAGTTAATGGACTAAACATTTCAATTAAAAGACAAAAATTTTCCCAATGGCTAAGAAAGTGAGACCCAATCTCTACAACACCCAGACTTTAACTAAAAACCACAGATATGTTAAAAGTAAATGAATTTTAAAAGATATACCATAGAAATAGTAAGTATAAGATGTCTGATATGTCTATGTTCATATCAGACAAAACAGATTTCTTGATAATTAGTATGAGCAGACATAAAGAGGAACACTTTAAAAAGATAAAGGGATCAACTCAACAGAAAGACATAACATTCATAAGTGTCTATGCACCTAAACAGAGCTCCAAAGTACATGAAGCAGATATTGGAAGAATTAAAGGGAGATACCAACAATTCCACAGTCATAATTGGAGATTTTAATATCCTTCTTTAAGAAATTGATAGAACAGTTAGAAAAATCAGTAAGGACAATGATTATCTGAAGAATGCTATCAACAACCTTGATCTTGACCTAATTGATGTTTATAGAACTTGCAACTGCAAAATATACCTTTTTTTCCAAGTGCTCAGGGCATGTGCACTAAGATGGGAAATACATTGGGGCACAAGACAAGTCTCAATATATTTAAAATAATTGGAATCATACAGAGTATGTTATCCGACCACAATAAAATTGTGTTTGAGTTCCCTGGAGGCAGGTGTTGAAATGGAGTTTGTCTTACTACTTTTTGTGTTGCTGTAAAAGAATGCCTGAGACTGGGTATATAGAAAAAAAAGAACTTCTTATAAAGAGAAGTTTATTTAACTCATGGTTCTGCCGGCTGAGAAGTTCAAGGACATGGCCCTGGCTTCTGGCAAGTGCTTTTGTGCTGTGTCACAACATGGCAGAGAAAGCCAAAGCAGAAGTGCATACATGAAAGGGGGAAAACCTGAGGGGTGTCCTGGCTTTAAAACAACCCACTCTCATGGGAACTAATTCATTGCTGTGAGACCTAATCCAATCTCATGAGAGTGAGGACTCACCACTTTGAGAACAGCACCAAACCATTCATGAGGGATCCACCCCCCCATAACCCATACAACTACTATTCTAGCCTGCATCTCTCAACACCACAACATTGAGAATCAAATGTCAACGTGAGTTTTGGTGGGGACAAACTATATCCAAATCATAACAGAGTTGGAGGTATCAGATATTTATTAGAGATCAACACCCATGAAAGGAAAGGAGAAAAAGAGGATTGGACAGAAGAAGTTGAAATATCATTGCAAGCCTACTGAAACCTTGCCAACCTGGAGAGGAGCTCTGGAGTAAATGTTTCCCCCAGCTGAGTGTCCTGCCTTGAGCCTTTATACTTCCACCTTGCTCATTCACAAGATTTAGGCTGTCTTGCAAAGGTCATGACTTTAGGTAGGGGAGCTCTCTGTAGATGAGGCCCACCCTGAAGTAGCTGATAGCTAGAAGTTGTCTTCTGATGGCACTCCTCTCATCTAGGCAACAAGTCCTTCCTTAAAGGAGAATCTGGGCAAGTGTGTCTATTACAGTCCATTCCTCGCTCGGCTCAGATATAATTATCCATATATATCTGAGAAGTACTTCCTCCAGGATTTCGGTATGCCTCTATGCCTGAGGAGGAATTAGAAAAGGGAGATTAGTGGGATGAACCGTGGCCCCTGCTGCTACACTGATCTCAGGGTCACAGTAGGTAACTCATCATCTCCCTTCTTCATTATTCATTCTCAGCTATCAACTCTGCTGACCTGAGACATTGGTCATTATGCCCTTCTCAGTCCAGAGCTGCTGGGCCAGTGCATTCATATCACAATTAGACAAGAGATACTAATATAATCACTAGGTTTCACATGTTTTTCTCCCTGCCCACATTGTGTGATAGCAGCCCATTTCCTACTGATATCAGTGTTATTTACCTGTACCCAGAGAGTGACTCCTCCTCTTTCCTCCTGGTCCCTGAACACAAAGAGTTCAAAGTATCCAGGGAGTAGCCAGAGTTTATAATTTACTGAGACTAAAAATGTGACCTCTGGTGAAAATGTACCCCCTTTAGGGAGTAGTACGTCTTACTAGAATTGGCATTGGCAGTGACGGTAAGTAGGCTCCACTCCCACTTTCATCTCTTGGTTAGTGGACTGATGTATTCTTCCCAGTGGATACATACCACCATATAAAGTTAATGCATACATTGTGCAGGAAGGTTTTTGAAGGGAAAAGAGAGATCAGACTGTTATTGTGTCTATGTAGAAAAGGAAGACATAAGAAACTCCACTTTGATCTGTACTAAGAAAATTGTTTTGCCTTGAAATGCTGTTAATCTGTAACTTTAGCCCCAACCCTGTGCTCACAGAAACATGTGCTGTATGGAATCAAGGTTTAAGGGATCTAGGGCTGTGCAGGATGTGCCTTGTTAACAATATGTTTACAGGCAGTATGCTTGGTAAAAGTCATCACCATTCTCCATTCTCGATTAACCAGGGGCACAATGCACTGTGGAAAGCCTCAGGGACCTCTACCCAAGAAAGCCTGGGTATCGTCCAAGGTTTCTTCCCACTGAGACAGCCTGAGATTCGGCCTCGTGGGAAGGGAAAGACCTGACCGTCCCCCAGCCCGACACCCGTAAAGGGTCTGTGCTGCGGAGGATTAGTGAAAGAGGAAGGCCTCTTGCAGTTGAGATAAGAGGAAGGCCTCTGTCTCCTGCATGTCCCTGGGAATGGAATGTCTCGGTGTAAAACCCGATCGTACATTCATTCTATTCTGAGATAGGAGAAAACCGCCCTGTGGCTGGAGGCGAGATATGCTGGCAGCAATGCTGCTCTGTTACTCTTCGCTACACTGAGATGTTTAGGTGGAGAGAAGCATAAATCTGGCTTAGGTGCACATCCAGGCATAGTACCTTCCCTTGAACTTATTTGTGACACAGATTCCTTTGCTCACATGTTTTCCTGCTGACCTTCTCCCCACTATCACCCTGTCCTCCTGCCGCATTCCCCTTGCCGAGATAGTGAAAACAGTAATCAATAAATACTGAGGGAACTCAGAGACCAGTGCTGGTGTGGGTCCTCTGTATGCTGAGCGCCAGTCCCCTGGGCCCACTGTTCTTTCTCTATACTTTGTCTCTGGGTCTTATTTCTTTTCTCAGTCTCTCATCCCACCTGATGAGAAATACTCACAGGTGTGGAGAGGCTGGCCCCCTTCAGGTTTTCACCCCAACTTAATAGAATATTGCCTCCAAGCTCCAGAAGAGTCTTCAGGAGGCTTCTCAAACACTCTTGGCAGTTTCTGGGTGCTCTAGTATGTGATATGACCAGTGGATCCCAAAATAGAGGGTTTATTTCTGTATCACCTGTGCTGTGAAGTAGGTTCCCTGGTTTATTCAAGGTTTTATGAGATCCTATGCTGGTGGATGGCCTTTGATGAAATTGTTGATGCCCCATGTGGGCAGGCAAGGTAAACCAAACCAACACCTGGAATATATGTTTCTTTTAGTGAGAACAACCCACTGTCCCTTTCATGGTGGAAGGGACCAAATGTAGTCCACTGGCAATCAAGTGGTTGACTGGTGGTGTTGAGGCATGATGTCATATTAAGAGCTCAGTGTTCCTCTCTGTTGTGGGCAGATTAGATATTCAGCAGCTCCATTAGCCTGGCCATCTTTGGTAAGTGGAAGCTCATGGATTGCGGCCCGTGAATAA